CTTGTCAAGTAGAAGTTGCTGCAAAAGTATATTTTATAGGTATGAAAATGAGTACATATAAATTATCAAGATAGTCTTCTCGTTTGAAGTTGAGTTATTTCATTCGCCTTGTTGCATTAATTTTTGTTGATCTATCTAATTTACCCACAAAAAATATTGTAATTGCATATTTGAACAACTCTCACAATCTTCCTTGTTTTAAAAAGAAGAATAGAAAACTTACGAAAATTCGTAGTTTAAAAAGTGTGATAAACCTCCTCTATTTAAAGACAACAAAGGATAGTATGAAAAGGTTCTTATCATGTCTTTTTAGATAAGTCATAACCCTTCAGAAAAATCACGACTTTTCGAAAATGTCATAACTCATTAAAAAGTCACAACTCTATAAAAAAGTCATAACCCTTCGGAAAAGTCACTACCCATCAATGTGAAAAGGCGTATGCATTAAATATAATATAGCATAAATATATATGATATTAAATATATAATATATACTAAAGTTAGTGTTTTAAGTTGGGGGTATTATAGTAATTTAACATTCATGTTAGGGAGTTCATGTTTTTAAGATAGTATAGATATATATAAATAGCCATTAAACGTTATTTTTATGCGAAAAATTGTGTGAAAATAGCAAATTATAATTCAAATTAAATGTTATAGCCATAGTTTATTTTATTTGTAATTCGCAGCAAACATCCCTTTTTTTGCCATCTGGTTCGGTATACAAATGTATAAAAATATATAAAATGTGTTTGTGTTTGTATAAAGCGAGAGAAAGTGTATATACAAATACAAATACAGATATTTTCGTCATATATACTTATAATTATACAAATATAGGTCTTGTTATACAAATTACAATGTATAAATGAATTTATACAAAACTGAACAATTTATATAAAATTGGATGTTTGTAGCGAATTATACAAATCAAAAGCTCCATAGCAAACATAAAATTTGTTATGGAGCGCAATTATGCAAACTATAACTATAACATACAAATATGATCTTTATGTTTGTTATATCTGAAAGTTGCTCTATTTTTATCCCTAAGATTGTATTGATAGATTACTCACTTATGGGCTGAAAACCCATTATTTAACTTTGGCCCATCATGATATGGGCCTTAACAAAATAAGGCCCAAAATACAATCCAATATAGGATTATTTTGCGCCGTTATTTAATTTTTTATTTAATTTTTAAATAGTTGTGTATTAATAATTTTTGATGGGGATTTCAAGTATACCACCCGAAAATTAGCAAAAAGCCTTGTTGTTTTGGGGTGATCTCGAAGTTTCTACGGAGTGGATATAATGGGTCAGTCCATGAATTTTTCTTCCTTTTCTTTTGATGCATTTCACTCAAAGGGTTGAAGGGAGATAGTGCATTAAGTTGTTCACAAGGGTCAACTTGATCATTTGTCGCAAAGATCTAAGATGAGGAAACCTTAGGAAGTCGTCAACTTCAACTACTGTCTATGTTCGATCCATATTAGATCTGACCAATTGTCCATCCTACCTTCTCTACGTTCTTGACAGTCCATCTTTGTGTACCCACAATTTATGGCGGATCATAGGGATTTAGTACAAAAATTATGACAGATCGTCATAAGTTTTGATGAATTAACTTGTCAAAGTATTGGCAAATCACCAGAAATTTAATATAAGTTGAGTTGTAACTTTTAAGACAATTGCTCATAAATTAAGCAAATCGTGAAGAGTTTTTAAGACTGAGCTTGTGACATGTCTTGATAAATCTGTCACAGCCCAAGCTCATGACACGTATTATTCACTTTGACCTAACTGATCTCATAGATTTCTCTCTTGAGCTACGTCATCATCCAATCTAAAAGTCTGTATCATAAATTTTATATAATACGCTCTTATAAAAAATTTCACTTTTCGTTCTTATTTAATTTGCACTGTCACTTAGATTTGATGTTCTTGAGCTGAGGGTCTCTTGGAAACAGCCTCTCTACCTCCACGAGGTAGTGGCAAGGTCTGCGTACTACTTACCCTCCCCAGACCCCACCTAGTGGGATTTCACTGGGTTGTTGTTGTTGTTGTTGTTGTTGTTCTTATTTAATTTGCAATTCACTTAAGATATCACAAACATTCCTTCTTCAAAAACTTGTCACCCAAAAAAAAAGGTTTCATATGCCATAAATTAAAGTTGAAAAGGAACTCAACTAAAAAAAGAAAAAAACATTCTTTTTAACTTTAATGTTTTTGGCACATATTTTTTGACAAACCAAGTCACCAACCCAACAAACATAAAAAGGGGGATGTGTGCTTCTCTTTCTCTAACTCTATCATGAATTTACTTTTAATATCTATCTATCTATATATATAAAATAAAAAAATGTACTCACAAAAGATTTATCAATATAATATAATTTATAATAACATATTAGTTAATTATTTTATCAGAGAGGATGATTTATTTGTAATTATTTTATTAATGATCTAATTGTATAACCTTATTACCAGGGCCGACTCAACAAAATTGGGGGCCTAAAGCAATACTTAAGAGAGGGGCCCTAATATATTTTTTTTCATCATATATACTTTTAAAAAAATCTACTTTTCTAGCTATTTTGGATGCGAAGTCATTATGTACTGTTTTATAATCAATTTGTTTAATAATTCCTTTACAAATGATAATATAGCTAATTCATTCAATCTCTCTTGGGACATTGTTGATCTTAAAGAATATTTAATCAATTTTAATTTCGAAAAAACATCTTTCGGCTTAGGTAATGGTTACATGAACTACTAACATTATTCTATAAGCAATATGTGTATTTGGAAAAGAATCAAGTCTTTTTATTTGATTGAATATTTTCATTAGATCATTATCTTCTACTTGTATTATTTCTCTTAACACTTTTAATTCAAAAAATAAATC